CAGAAACCATTCAGAGAGAGAACATCTTCCATACACGCTGTACCGTGAACACCAAGGTATGTAGTCTCATTATAGATGGTGGTTCGTGTACTAACGTGGCTAGTAAGTATCTTGTAGATAAGCTAGGTCTCAAGAAGACAAAGCACCCGAGGCCCTACAGACTCAAATGGCTGAATGACGAGACAGAGCTAAAGATAGGAGAGCAAGTGTTAGTACCATTCAGCATCGGCCAGTACGAGGATCAGGTTTTATGTGACGTAGTTCCCATGCAAGCAGGCCACATTCTGCTTGGTAGACCATGGCAGTTTGACAAGGAGACGATACACAATGGCCGTACCAACTTCTACAGCTTCTCTCACAACAAGAAGAAGCATAACCTTTCTCCACTTACACCCCAAGAAGTCTTTAATCTCCAAAAGGCTATGGACAAAGGGGCTAAGGTAAGTAAAACTAGCCTCTATGTTACTCCTAGTAATGTTTTAAAGGCTTTAGAATCCAAAACGCAGGTGCTACTAATGATCTTTAGAGAAGGGTTGTTTTCAGGTCAAGAGGAGACTGTTTTACCCGCCGAGATGTATGAGCTTTTGGAGAAGTTCAAAGATGTCTTCCCTGAGGAGATACCAGCTGGTTTACCACCCATCCGAGGCATTGAGCACCAGATAGACCTTATCCCCGGAGCACCTTTACCCAACCGGCCAGCTTATAGAGTTAACCCGGAGGAAGCGAAGGAGCTAGAAGCACAAGTTCAGGAGCTTATGTCCAAAGGATACATCCGAGAAAGCTTAAGTCCTTGCGCTGTACCGGTCTTGTTAGTGCCAAAGAAGGACGGATCTTGGAGGATGTGTGTAGACTGCCGAGCCATAAACAACATCACCATCAAGTATAGGCACCCCATTCCCCGGTTAGATGACATGCTGGACGAGTTGAGTGGAGCTACAATCTTCTCAAAAGTTGATCTCAAGAGTGGCTACCACCAAGTCAGAATGAAGGAGGGTGACGAATGGAAGACAGCATTCAAGACCAAGAGAGGTTTATATGAGTGGCTGGTCATGCCTTTCGGTCTCACCAATGCACCGAGCACCTTTATGAGGCTCATGAACCATGTACTGCGGGCATACATCTGTAAGTCAGTAGTTGTGTATTTTGATGACATTCTGATCTATAGCTCTAGCTTAGATGATCATCTTAAACACATTGAGCAGGTGCTAGAAACCTTAAGGTTAGAGGGCTTATATGCAAACCTAAAGAAATGTACCTTTTGCACTGATCAGTTAGTGTTTTTAGGCTTTGTAGTAAGTTCACAGGGGCTAAAAGTGGATGAAGAGAAGATCAAGGCGATTCAGGAGTGGCCAACCCCTTCCACCATTGGTCATGTCCGGAGCTTCCACGGTCTAGCCAGCTTCTATAGGCGATTCGTGAAGGATTTCAGTACCATAGCCGCCCCCTTAACCTCGGTGATCAAGAAAAATGTAGCCTTCTCATGGGGAGAGGCACAGGAGCTAGCATTTCAAAGGCTTAAAGATAGCCTTACACATGCGCCTGTTTTAGCATTACCTAACTTTAACCAAATGTTTGAAGTTGAATGTGATGCATCAGGGACAGGAATCGGAGCTGTTCTTACTCAAGGAGGGAGACCCGTGGCATTCTTCAGTGAAAAGCTCAATGGAGCAACTCTTAACTACCCTACCTATGACAAAGAACTATATGCTCTAGTAAGATCTCTTGAAACTTGGCAGCATTACCTTTTATCTAAAGAGTTTGTTATTCATACAGATCATGAGACTCTCAAGTACTTGAGAGGCCAAACTACTTTGAAGAAGAGACATGCTAGATGGCTTGAACTCATAGAGACATTTCCCTATGTAATCAAATACAAGAAGGGAAAGGAGAATGTTGTAGCGGATGCTTTATCAAGGAGACACGCCCTCATCTCAACAATGGAGGCTAAGATCATGGGGTTTGAGCATCTCAAGCAACTATACGGCGAGGACCCTGACTTCAAGGAGCTTTATAACCAATGTAGCCGAGGAGTGTTTGGTTCTTTTTACAGGCATGATGACTTTCTATTCAAGGACCGCCGGCTATGCTTACCTCAAAGCTCGGTTAGGGAACTTATCATAAGGGAGGCACACGGTGGAGGCCTCATGGGACATTTCGGGATAGACAAGACACTCAGCATCGTCAAGGAGCACTTCTTTTGGCCTCACCTTAGACGTGACGTTGAGAGGTTCTGCTCCAAGTGCATCACTTGCTTGAAAGCAAAATCCAGGTTGCATCCCCACGGCTTATACATTCCTCTACCTATACCTGACCTACCATGGGTAGACATTTCTATGGATTTTGTTTTAGGTTTACCCAAGATCAGAAACAAGGATTCAATCTTTGTAGTGGTGGACCGTTTTTCTAAAATGGCGCATTTCATCCCATGTGCCAAGACTAATGATGCTACTCAGATTGCTGATTTGTTCTTTAAGGAGGTGGTGAGGATTCATGGACTTCCAAGAACCATTGTTTCTGACCGAGACACCAAGTTCTTGAGCCACTTTTGGAGAACCGTGTGGAGGAAGCTGGGGACTAAGCTTCTCTTCTCAACAACTTGCCACCCCCAAACCGATGGACAGACTGAAGCAGTCAACCGTACACTCTCCACCCTCTTAAGGGCTATGGTTGGTAAAAATTTAAAGAATTGGCTAGACTGTTTACCTTTCATTGAGTTTGCTTATAATAGAGTCCCCCACTCGGCTACTAAGCTTTCACCCTTTGAGATTGTCTATGGTTTTAGACCCATTGCTCCTTTAGATCTTACTCCTTTACCACCGGTGCAACAAGTGAGTCAAGATGGAGTTAGTAAGGCCGAGCTGATGAAGACTATGTTCAAGAAGGTCAAGGAGAACATAGAGAAGAGGAATGAGCACTACAAGAAGAATGCTGATAAGGGTCGCCGAGAAGTTACCTTTAAACCAGGCGATTGGGTGTGGCTGCACATGAGAACCGAGAGGTTTCCAGTTCAGAGGAAGTCTAAGCTGTTACCGAGAGGAGATGGCCCATTCAAAGTCCTCAAGAAGATCAATGACAATGCATATCAGATTGAACTTCCAGGTGAGTTTAACATTTCTAATACTTTCAATGTATCTGACTTGCTGCCGTTTGATGTAGGTGAATCAGTTCTGAGGACAGAACCTTTCCAAGGGGGAGAGGATGATACAAACTTAGGAGCTGAAGCTGACATCCCTACCATGAGACAAGCTCCAAGAACAAGATCAGGAACTAAAGACTTAGCTGATGGCTTCAACCAAGCAGTAGAGACGCTGATCACTTCCCAACACTTAGAGGACATCACTACTCAACTAAGTCAACTAAGCATCGCCAAGGAAGCAGCAATGGCAAGGGCTTACCTAGACGAGGAGGGCATTGAGCAAGAAGACCTTCCCAACGTGCAAGCAGGCGGTTTAGACATCACCAACGACCCTCTCATCTAAAGTATAGGTTATACACGTGACTGGCCATTGATTCATGCCAACAAAGGAGTTTCCTTATTCACCATCACGTTAGCCAAGTAAACCGCCTCATTTGGAGCTAAACCAAGGTATGATCCGAATCCTTAATTTCAATATGGTTTAGTTCTACTAATCAATCTTTTCTGTTTTGTTTTCTTGGTTTAGTTTTTATTTCATTTAAACTTTAGTATAAGGCATGTTGGCCACATTTTATTTACATTTTCGTTTGAAGGCATTGTTAGCCAAGTAGTTTAACCTAAGGGTTTTGTAATCTGCTTCAAGTCCCCTAGAAGGACAAAGCTGTTTGGACTGTTTATAAAGTCCCCTCACAGCCGTGTATTTTTACATCATATCAATAAAGTGCGAACTTCTTGGCTAAAACCCTACTCTTGTTCTCTAAAAGCTTTGTGTGATTCATTGCTTGAGAGAGTTCTTAGTCTTATCAAGGTTTAGATCCATAAAGCCTTGTGGCGACTTTCATTCCACCCTTCCTTTCATCTCATACTTTGGTTCTTACAAATAGAGTGGCACAACTCTTTGTTTGAGCCCCATCTCGATCCACTTCCTTCCATCACTCATCCACTGATTGCTAGCCGAAAGTGTTGAACAACCAGCGGCCCAATCCCATCTTCCCTACACGGTTACTAACTAGTAGGCGTGTGTCATAAGTAGTTTTGAAAAAATGTTTTCAATCTTAATTTGTAATGTTCACAATAATCTAATCGATGCAACGAATGATTCCATAACATAGGAATAAAAATTTCCTCAGTCTAAGATTTAGACAGTTTACCGTATAATCGATCTGGGTGAAATTTGTAACAGTTGAATGGGGGCAATTAGGGTTTACATCGTCACATATCTTTTGGGTGTTGTTAAAGCTTGCTTTACTTGGGAGATAAAAGAAACCAGACGAGGAAGATCGATGAAGCTTGCATTATTTGGGAGATATTTGGTGCAGAGCGAGAAAGATCATCGATGAAAGGATGGATTGGGTGTCTTGTATACTTTATGAGATTACCCGTTGAAATTGGTTTAATCACAGTTCGCATGATGTTGGTTTGGTTCTGTTTAATCCAAAAATAAATAAAACATTGGTTTGAAAGGTGCATGTTTTTAATTTTACTACAATTAAGATTGAAAATAAATAAAATTAAATAACACCATAATTAAATATTAAATTTCTAGATAAATATTTATAATCAATATTTATTTTTAATTTAACCAATTGGTCAGAATTATTGAAAAATCTAAATAATACCTATTTATTTCTTTATAGAAACAAATCAATTAGATATTAAATTCAACCGGTTGCAGTTTCCATGTATTTCTATAGGTTTCGAAGACACTAAAAAAGGATTCCAAATGTCACCGGTTAGTTATGGTCTAATGTAATCTTGAAACAGTAAATACTGATTAACATTGGTTTAGTGTTAACAGTTAAAAGTAAGCTTCGAGGTGGTCAATCAAAGAAAAGGTTTTCATACAAAATGGGTAGAAGAAACTCTATTGTCCATCTAAAGTGACGAAAGCATCCTTCAGAAGTCGCTGTGCTTCTTCTCTCCTCCTGCCAAAACAACACTATTCCCAATTAGTAATATTCTTATTTATGATCTCTACAACATATTAGAATAACCCAGAAAAACTACCAACAAGCTTTAAAGGAATATTTAACAAAAACTTAAAACATATACAAACCTCTTAATGTCCTCCACGGCTTGTTTCCGCTGCAGAATTTGGAGTTCCATAATATGAATAAACGTTGCTCTCGCCTGAGCAAAAGAGAACAATTAGATAAACACAAAACCGATCGGTTGTGAAACAAAAACGACATCTTCTTACCTGGTGAGGCCTCAAGGAATTGAGAAGGTGATGTAAGTTCTTGAAGATTGAAGATATTTCACCAATTCTCTTCGCATATTGAGAAGGCCTCTCAACAAGAACATCAACAAGCTCCAATATATGTAACTGTAGTTCTCTGTTCAAAAACCGGAGTTCTTTCTTGTAATCTACACAAGATCATTGGAATCTCTTCAGCAAAATCTTGCTTAAGAGTAAGGCTGAGATCGGAAGAAAGTATCTGAAAGATACTTCTATTTACCAACAGTGTCATGTAATCAGTTTGATTTGCAATTAAGAGATTAACCAAAACCATTAAAGTTTAGAAGATTAACATACCAACATTTGAATCTTTGGGATAAAGTTAAGGCACTCCTTGCTCTTCTAGGCTCGGAAGAACATCTTCAGTTTGCAAAACAAAACAAAATGGGAAAAGTACTATAAGTCACAAAGATGACAAATTGGGAAGAGTGATAAGGGGAAATGTAAAGTAGGAATCTCACAGTATAATTGCCTCCAAAACAAACATAAGTTCCTTCAATTGGAAGAGGAGGTTCAAGAGCAGAATTAGAGTTTTCAAAGTAATCCTTGTAGAGCCTGTAATATGGAGGAGCCGGCGGATACGTAGCTGTAGCCATAGATCCAAATCCACAACAGAGCAAAAAATCAGCAAAACAATCCTAATTACACAGGTTGGCGTTTTGATTGATTGGTAAACGGGTTCTTTTGATTGATTGGTGTTTATGGGATTCAAAGAAAATGAAAATTTCCTTGTTCCAAAAGGTTCAGTAATTAAAAGAAAGGAAAATTCACAGTCCAATTACATCAGAAATCATATACGATACCAATTGAATCCATAAAAAAAATCAGCAGTAAATCATTACATAGAGAGGCTTTTTTTTCTCTTTTTGTTTCCTGTGATGTAATCAACTTTATAAGAAGCGAAACTACGGGATGCAATTATCTAACAAACAGAGCAGAATCCTAATCACAGATTCGAGAGACCACAGAGAAGACGATTTAGCCTAAACATCTACAAGAGATTGCAGTCGATGCCAGATAAATACGTAGGATTATAAACGCTGAAAGAAACCTGTAGACGACGAGAAGGCAAGAGATCAGCGGCGATAAAGCGAGAGGCCAAAAACGCTTAGGTTATTCGGTCACAAAGTCGACTAGGGCTTATATAAAAGGGTAGTTAATTAAGTTATTCGGTCTCTCGACTCGGTTTACAATAACCGAATCGGTTCATTAATTTATTTTTATTATTTTCCCCCAAATCGGTCCATTATTTGTAACCGGGTTCTTTTGATTGGGATTTCAAGAAAAGGAAATTATCCTTTTTCCAAAAGATTCAGTAATCGAAGTTAAGAGTCTTTGTAGGAATCCAAAACAATCATCTTCTTCTATAAATACGGGAGTAACGGGATATAGGTTTTCGATCTTCACACATAATATTTTGTTTTGAAAGACTTTGAGAGTATCTATATCATCGCTCAAAAACAACAATGTCTGTTGCAGAGATATTCGAAAGAATCGACAAAAACAAAGATGGGAAAATCTCACCAGCACCTTTGTCCTTCTTCTCACCGCCGGCTGGAGCTGCCGCTGCTGCCACGGTGGCTCCCTCCTCTTTTTTCGCCGGACCCACCTTTGTCTCTGGCCTCCGCTTAAGCTTGAACCCCTGGTAGATTTCTGATAAATTCATCAGCGCTTGCAGTTTTCGCAGCAAGCTCAACTCTCTTCATGTCAATTCCTGTCGTGAGATCTCTGTACCCAACGTTTTCAGCAACTGTCCCTGTAAACAGAGTCTTGTATTTGTAGAAAGTTAGTACGCTGAACAATCTTGGGATAGAAAGAGAAAATTTTGAAGGAGTGGAACTTACTATGTCCTGTGAAACCAGACCAACATGCTGTCCTTGATGTCATTTTTGTCAACAGAGATAGAACCTATTAGAGTAGAAACAGTAATTGTGCTTAGATGACAAAATCATTAGGTTCTAAACATTGTGATCAAGATAAAGACAAATATAGAGACGAAATGAAGGTTCGTAAAGGCGGAGAAGCAATTTGATCAGTTTTGCCTTTATCTCTTGTCCATATTTAAACGAAATATCGCGTAATTCAACTTCGCCTGCAACCTTTTCCAATTGAATGGCTTCAGCTCTCTCGATCACCTAGTTTTCATGACGCAACCAAAGCACTTTGCATTCAGATTTTGAGTTATACAAAGGAACGAACCCTCTTATTGGGAGTATAAACTGAAGAGAAAAAACAGAGGAAAGTTTAGGTTTTTACACTACCTTGGATTTTAAGGAGGCCAAATCAAACCAACGTTCTATCGCTGGCTCTCCTTGTTTCAATTCATTATAAGCTTTTCCCAGATCCTGCATGATTTTTTAGATTAAAAATCCCAATAATTTAGATGGCACGTCAAGGTAAACGCAAAAATTACAGAGACGAGATATGATGAAATGCCACACTAAAACATGTATTTACCTGGACAGACTCGATCAAGAAAGCTAATGATGTCATAAAGGACACAATCGCACTAGAGCTTAAAGAAGAGCCTACAAGTGTCACCACTCCAACACAAAACACCGACAATGATCCAAGATAGATAACTTGAACAATCTGAGGGATAAGTGACTTCTTCTTAAAACGTTCAGATAGATCAGCACGAGCAAACCTCTGAAACCTCACAGTCTCAGAGAACTCTGCGTTATTAGCCTTCACAAACAAGATTGCAGGAAGGACCTGAAAATATAAAGCTTTGCTTTAGTAATTTTCCTGTTTATGAACAGAAAGAAGAATACCAAATGTCGATGTTGAAAGTGAGAAAATCCCAAAGAAGAACAGAGGAATCAGAAAAGAAGACCTCATTCAAGTAGAAAGAAAGTGAAGCAGAGGCAATCTGAGCCTTTCTTGATATCTTGCGAAGCCGGTCACCAAGAAATGCTATCACAAGCGCAACAGATGGGATCACCTATAAAAAAACAAGAAACTTTACATGCTTGAAGCTTTGAACTGATGAGAAACACCAAGGAAGACAATATATTTTTCCACATCCTTGACTCACCATTGCAGAGACTAGTGTCAAAACAGGACTTGCAACTAGCATATGTGTCGCCATTGCAGAAATCTGGAAAGCACTGGGCACAACCGTCTGCAACAAGTGTAGCTTATAGTCAGCAAAATACTTACACAATTTGTCCTGTAAATTGGAGGAACTTTTCCGAAAACATTCATGATAAGCAAAAGTGATGATTTTTGACCGGATCAAAATCTCAAAAGACCTTCCGTATAGGAATGCAAATCAAAACTGACCTTTACAAATCTTTCATAACCTTCCTAATATGAATTTCCTATTTTACCCTTAATGAATTATTTCATTAATTTAAAAAAAAAAAAATTCACTCCAGTGAACATTTTCTGAATCTCTCCGCGAATAAAGCATAACTAGTACAACTGATACATCTAGTCTAACCGGATAACTAGTATAATTGGTACAACTTGTATAAGTTGTATAAGTGGTATAACGGATACAACTACTATAAATACGTATACATAAATAGTAAGACTGGTACAACTATTGCATGATGATGTCGTTTATTGTTCTTTTACATAGAATAATGGATTGTTTCGTCATACATTTTGATCATGACGATGATGTACGATGGAATATGAAAGAACGTGGTGTTTCTACTCTAGTTATGAGAGGAAAGTTAGAGGAGATAACTTATTGTCGGTAAGTTAATAGGATAAGGAGCAAGATTATGGTAGATGAGGCGACGACAAAGCTTGTGCTGAGTTGCTTTCCGCTGATAGTCGAACCTATAAAGCCTTCCTATTATCTTGAATGATAATAGTACAACTAAATTTTAGTTCAACTGGTACAACTAGTGTAACTTTTAATTACATTTATGAAAATGCTTTTATATATGATATATATATTCTCATGTTAAATAGGCCATCAAAACATTGCAAACATATTTTCACAACTAAATTAATGAACTAAATACAAATTTCATAATTTGATTTAATGAAGATGTTATCTTTCCATAATCTACCTTACACTTTTAAGGTTACTTTCACAATCTTAACGACATAAACATGGAAAACAAACTAGCAAAGTACATGTACACATTTAATCATATAGGAATATATGGAATGTAGTTTATATACTTAATTTCGTAAGTACAACTAAAAAAAAATTATTTAGAGAATGGTACCACCAATTACAATTTTTTAGGGCAAAAGTACAACTCTTTACAACTAAAGTACAACTGGTTCCTTGGTACAACTCAGTGTTAAAGATTCAATTTTTTTAAGCACGTTTTTAATGTTTTACACGATGTCGGTGCACGTTTTTTTCATTTAAATTTGCTTGCGATGATTTTAAATATTTTACATGGTAGTTGAATGTAGTAATACTAGTTGTACTTGCGATATGAAATATATATAAACATATTAAGTCTGAAAATACTTAAATTCATAATAAGTCTAAAATACATAAAACCAAGAAAATAAGATATCATTTTGGAATATAAGGGGACTGCAACATATGTGAAGGTTTTAGATTTCTCTTATGCCTTTGGAATTTTTGGAGTTCTTGGAGATCTTGACTTCATACATTTTTTGATCAACCTCTTAGTTGTAAAGACTTTCACACTGGACTTTTAGATTTTTCTCTCTGCAAAAAAAAAAAATGTCAATGAAAATCAGACTAATAACTATAATCAAATTCTTAATTAGATAATTAAAAAAGTAAAAAGGTGTAAAAAGTGAATCATTTCTCACCAAAAGCAGGTTTGGCTGCGACAACACTGTCCTCTTGAGTCTTAGCGCCAATAACTACAACACTATCCTCTTGAGTCTCTGCAGCTACATTACCAAAAATAACATCTGCAATCGCCTTCTCTGCAGCAATAGCCTCCTCTTCAGCAATGTCCTTCTCTGCATCAATAGCCTCCTCTTCAGCAATGTCCTTCTCTGTAAGCTCTGCAACTAGTTATACTAACTGTTCTAGTTGAACTAGTTGAACTACACTAACTAGTCGGACTACTTGAACTAGTTGAACTACTCATACTAGTCAGACTAGTTGGACCTAGTTATACTAACCATGGTTCCACATAATTTAGGGTTTACTGGTGCTGGTTGCACCATGAGATCGGCAAATCGGAGTTGGCGGAACTGGTCAGAAATTCGAATTGATGGTGGATTTCAGTTTCGACGGGATCATCGATTTAGAAGAAGGGAAGTTTGGATTAGGGTTTGAATCGAAAGTATATCAAAAAGGAAAGAAAATGAGAAAGTAGATATCCAGAAAAAAATGACGTAGAAGATAGATTTGTGAGATTTAGAAAAGGACAATAAAGTCATTTCGCTATTTTAACCTATTAAAAAAAAAATTAAATTAAATTATAATATACAAAAGTTATTTGAGCATTCTTTGTTGTAGAGAAGGTCATATCAGATTTTGATCCTTTTTGACCACTCACGTTGAGAAGAGCATACATGGTGTCAGCAACTTCAGAAGCTTCGGCAGTGATACGGTACGCAATATCTCCTGATGAGATCTCATTCCCACCTTCGAAGAACTCTAACTCTCTCTCTCTAAAACCCGAATCCTGTAAACCGAATTCAACGCGGCCTCCCAGAGTGGGACAGCGGGGTTAGTGCGATATATTTATAGGTACCAACTAGAGATCCTCCGTGGATCTTAAGCACGGCTGAATCGAGTCTGTAAAGCGGTTTAAAGAAGAGAAGGGCCACCTTAAAGATCAGGATCCGGAAGAGTGACGACAATGGCGTACACAGCAGAGATAGAGAGAGAGAGTGGAGAGAAGAACGAGAGGATAATGATTGATTCCTTTTCCAAAATACTCGTACAGCATTCATAAAGTCTGAATAGTCAAATATACGACCATAAACCGGAATTAACAAACCAGAGAATTCAAAATGAAACTTTAAACCGAAACGTATTTGAACCGAAAAACATAAATTACAAGCAATGCCTGTCACAATACTCCCCGCTTGACAACATCTTTGTCCTCAAAGATGAAACTCAGGGTATTTCGCAATGAAATCCTGATAGAACTCCCAAGTAGCCTGAACTGGTGTTTCGCCCTTCCATTGAACCAACACCTTAGTAGCTGCTGTGTTGCGTCGCTTAACCACCTTCTTATCCAACACACACTCGGGTTCCTTGGACTTGCCCAAATCGAACCAGTACTGAGGCAGCACAGACGTAGTGGCAGAAGGATTAGGACAAAGCTTGAGCTGGCTTACGTGGAATACATCATGAATCGCGGCTCCGGACGGCAACTTGAGCTTGTAGGTGACTGCTCCCACTCTGTCAACGATACGGAAAGGTCCGTAGAAGCGTGGAGAGAGCTTGTGTGGTGTCTGTCGGTTCTTGAGGGAATGTTGACGATATGGTTGCAACTTCAGATACACGAAGTCGCCTGTAGTAAATGACCGGGGTGATCTGTGGGAGTCAGCGGCTTGTTTCATACGGTTCTGAGCCCGAAGGAGGTGAAACTTCAGCATGGTAATGACCTCTTCGCGCTTCTGCAGGCTCCGATCAACCACTACGGAGGAGCTTTCACCAGGTAAGTAAGGGAGGTGCGTGGGAGGAGGTTGACCATACACGATCTCAAACGGCGTGCTACGAATAGCGGAGTGGTAAGTGGTGTTTTACCACCACTCGGCTACGGGTAACCACTTGCTCCAAGTGTGAGGAGTCTCTGCAGTCATACAACGGAGGTAAGTCTCCAAAGTTTTGTTGGTTATCTCGGTTTGACCGTCGGTCTGAGGGTGATAGGCAGTGGAGTGCTTCAATTCAACCCCATGAACGCGGAACATCTCCTTCCATACTTCGCTGAGGAATGTCGGGTCTTTGTCACTGACAATATCCTTAGGCATCCCGTGCAACTTGAAAATCTGATCCAGATACAGTTGCGCCACCTCAGCTGCCGTATACGGATGAGATAAAGCAACGAAGTGGGCGTTCTTGCTCAGTCTATCCACCACAACCAGTATGCAATGTTTACCAGCAGAAAGGGGAAGGCCCTCGATGAAGTCCATGCTGACTGATTCCCAAACACCATCCGGGATAGGCAGTGGTTGAAGCAGACCAGGCTTTGCGACATACTCGTACTTGTTCTTCTGACAGATGGAGCAGTTACGAATGTATGCCTGCACTTCGAGATTCATCCTTGGCCAATAGAACAGGGATTTAACTCGGTGCAATGTCTTGTCTCTGCCCGAATGACCCCCCACAGCTGAGTCGTGCAACCAAGTCAATATGTGAGTTTTGACTGCTGTATCGTTACCAACCACCAGCTTCCCTCGACGTCGTAACTCATCGTTGGTGTACGTGTAAGCAGGATGAGAGGAAGGATCAGATTGAAGGTCTGAAACTACCTTCCTGAGATGCGGATCTGTTTGCCAGAGGAGCTTGAGCGAATCGTAGAAACCTTGATCAGCTTGCGACAGAGTGATTTGGAGAAGTTGTGAGCCGGTGACACGGGAAAGGGCGTCGGCAGCTACGTTCTCCTTGCCCTGCTTATACTGTATCTCGAAGTCGTACCCCATCAACTTAGAGAGCCACATGTATTGGAAGGGAGTAGAAGCCTTCTGTTCCACCATGAATTTGAGGCTTTTCTGGTCCGTGCGAATAACAAAAGGTCTGTGGGAGAGGTAAGCGCTCCAGCTTTGTATCGCGTGTACCACTGCCATGAGCTCTTTTTCGTAGACGGAGAGGGATTGATGCCTAGGACCAAGAACACGACTTATGTAGCAGATGGGATGATTATCCTGCATCAACACTGCTCCGATACCCGTGTTAGAAGCATCCGTCTCCACCACGAATGTCTTCTCAAAATCAGGAAGGGCTAGGACCGGCGCTGAAGTGAGTGCTTCTTTCAGTGTAGCAAAAGCAGCCATTGCCTCGGGATCCCATGTAAACCCATCCTTGCGAAGTAGAGACGTGAGAGGACGAGCAATCACACTATAACCTTGTATGAAACGCCTGTAGTAGTTGGCGAGACCAAGAAAACTGCGAAGCTGTTTCTGTGAATTCGGAGTTGGCCATTGAGCCACAGCTTGAACTTTCTTGGGGCAGGTACTCACTCCCTCAGCAGATATGAAATGTCCAAGGTACTCGATAACCGTAGCTCCAAAAGTACACTTGGAAGGCTTCAGGTAGAGTTGCTGAAGTCGGAGAATCGAGAAGACCTCTTGGAGATGAAAGAGGTGAAGCTCCCAATCTGGATTGTAGACAAGAATGTCGTCGAAGAAAACCAATACCGACTTCCGAGCAACATCCTGAAACACGTGATTCATCAGGCTCTGGAAGGTGCACGGGGCATTAGACAACCCGAACGGCATGACAAGGAACTCGAAATGTCCTGCGTGGGTCTTGAAGGCCGTCTTGTACACATCTGCAGGAGACATCCGGAGCTGATGAAACCCGGCGCGGAGATCCAATTTGGAGAAGTATCGTGCACCCCCGAGCTCATCCAGCAGATCCTCAAGCAACGGAATAGGGTATTTGTCCTTAATCGTCTGCTTATTGAGGCCCTTGTAGTCCACGCACAACCGCCAAGTCCCATCCTTCTTCTTCACTAGGACAATAGGGGATGCGTAGGGACTTGAGCTGCACTGAATGATGCCTTGGTTAAGCATTTCTTTGATCATGCCATCGACTGCATCCTTTTGTAAGGTAGAGTAGCGGTAGGGACGTAAATTGATGGGGTTAGAGCCGGATTCCAGAGGAATTCTGTGATCGAACCCTTCCCGAAATGGTGGGAGTCCCACTGGTTCATCAAAGAGATCAGCGAATGAGGCCAAGAGAGACGTCAAATCAGGATCAGCAGCTCTCTCCGTGGTGTTGGTCGCGACATGAGAAAAGAGAGAAGCCGGCGAGGGTAATGCTTGTACCTCTGCAGCCTCTGAATCACAGATTTCACGAACTTGCAACAGAGCTATCTGAGGTTGTTGAAGCAACAACTTAAGGCTACCACTCCTGATCGGCTTGCAAGTCGATTTAGTGACTCCTCGTAACACGTTTTTGGTCCCCTGGTATTTGAATTCCATCCGCAGGTTATGAAAATCCCAAAGAATAGGACCCAAGGGAGCTAACCATTGTACTCCAAGGATAAGCTCGTAACCCTCGAGTGGCAGAGTGCGGACCTCAGAGGAGTAAGAATAGCCCTGGACCTTCCACGCGAAATCGGGACAGCGAAAGTGTGTCACCAGAGCACTGCTCGCTGCTGCAACAGACATGGGGTTGATGGCCTCGAGACGACAGCCGAGTTCCTTAGCAACCTGTGTGTCGAGGAAGTTGTGAGTACTCCCGCCGTCAATGAGGATGTGCAGTTTCCGCTTCCCGTATTGCCCGATCACTCTCATACAATTGAATGTAACCGAGCCGCTGAGAGCGTTAAGGGAAATAGTTGGTGGTGTCTCCGGGATGGCTTGTGTAGGATCGGGCTGTGTAGCCACGTCGGTGATTACCTCAGGGAAAAGAACCACGTCAGCTGCATCATCATCATCGTCACACTCCAGTACGTAAATCTGGGAGCGCTTGTGTTTAAGCTGATGGCCAGGGGTGAAGGCTTCATCGCAAAACATACAGAGCCACTGAGCACGCCGATCTTGCATCTCCTGGTAAGTGAACTTACGAGGGGCTTTATCCGCAAGGGAGCGAGGGATAAAGCTCGGTTTGGGTGGACGCGAGACATCTGGTGGAGGAAGCAACGGGGAAGAGCTCGGGCCTTTAGAGAAAGAAGGTCCAGAGTGTTTAGCGTTCACCAATGGATTGAAGGGAGCTCGAAGAAGACGCTGAGGTGTCTGAGCAAGGGCAGCCTCGTGGAGTTTCGCAATCCTTGCTGCCTCTGCTATAGTGGTGACCGTGAACTGACGGACGTGCAGTGAAAGGTGAGGCTGCATATTGGTAAGAAATATGCTCAAAGCGTGAGCGGCGGTGAGAGTGACGCGGGTACGTGCGCTCTCGAACTTCTTCAGATAAACCTCGATGGGGTCATTGCCTTGCTTCAGGGAAATGAGCTCAGATAAGGGGTCGTTGATGATTCCACTAAACCGGCTTGAAATCTCCACCACGTAATCGGACCAGGAAGGTAGGATCCCGTACCGCTCGGCGATAAGGTTATGGTGCCATTCCAGGGCTTCGTCCTCGAGATGCATCGAAGCGAGGGGGACGCGCTGCTCCATGGGGGTATTATCCAACCCGAAAAACTGGTCACACCGGTAGATCCATTCGCGAAGCTTAGAGCCGTTGAACATAGGGAACCCAACCTTCGTGAGACGGGAAGATAAGCTGCTCGGGAGCAGGGGAGGACGAGGTGCCTTATGGGGTCCTCGCTCGGTTCGGATCTGGTCGTAACCGGGTCGATCTGGCAGATCTGGGGGCCGACTAGAGCTCGGAGAAAACAACATGGCCGACAGGGTCGAGCTCGACTCCTGGTGTTGTTGTGGTTGAGTAGATCCGTTAGACAGATGAGTGAAGAGGAAAGATTCGAGCTTGGAAAATCGAGCATCAAGTGATTCGACGTGTCCCTTGAGCTCGTCGGAGTGCTGCTCTTGGCGAAGACGGAGGTCCTCGACGATATCCGCAAGCGAGCATTTTTCCTGTAGCCGTGTTTCCACCATCGTTGAGCTCCCTAGGATCGGAGTGGCTCTGATACCATTGGGACAGCGGGGTTAGTGCGATATATTTATAGGTACCGACTAGAGATCCTCCGTGGATCTTAAGCACGGCTGAATCGAGTCTGTAAAGCGGTTTAAAGAAGAGAAGGGCTACCTTAAAGATCAGGATCCGGAAGAGTGACGACAATGGCGTACACAGCAGAGATAGAGAGAGAGTGGAGAGAAGAACGAGAGAATAATGATTGATTCCTTTTCCAAAATACTCGTACAGCATTCATAAAGTCTGAATGGTCAAACATACGACCATAAACCGAAATTAACAAACCGGAGAATTCAAAATGAAACTTTAAACCGAAACGTATTTGAACCGGAAAACATAAATTGCAGGCAATGCCTGTCACACAGAGATACGCCTGCTGCAGATAACCGGCGACGACCCTAGCCAGAAACAGAGCCGCCAGCACGAGAGCCGCGTTTCTGAGCTTCATTGGGCTCGCGGCGTTTGCGTTGAGGTTGGAGGTGAAGGAGCCGATCCTGGGGATAATCTGGGAAAGCGAAACAACAGAGACCAAGTTGCAGAGCCAGCCAGCGAGGATGGTTCTCGATTCCGATTGTAGATAGGGTTTAACATTCTCGAAGGGTTTTAGCGAATTGACGGCTGTATTGACTCGAACAAGGAAAACGGAGGATTTCCCGGATCTTAGAGGTCTCGGAGACGGTTGGATTGGAAGCTTGAGTAAGAGTGAAGAGCTCCGTCGGAGAAATAGCGGCGGCGGAAAGAGGAGACACGGCGTCGTTGGGCGGAGGAGAAACGGCATTTCTCCTAATCAAACCAAATCGAACAAGTCTTTAACTTGGGGTGACAATTCTCCTTAACTGGAGATACTATCTTAGTTCTAAATTTCGGTTACAATTATCCCGAACCCGAACGAAAGAATTTCAAACCGAATATAAACCGAAAACTGAAGATACAATCCCTGAGGAACACGCTAGGGTTTTGCTTCTCGTTTTATGGTTTGTACTCTTAAATCATTCAGACGTCCATGTGAAAGTTGCAGCGAGATTCTAAGATTAACTGATGCGTCTAAGCAGAGGAAGGCATGTTATTGTATTAAACCAGAAAGTAAGAACTCGAAATTGATAAAGACAACTCTCTTTAGAAAAATAACTCAAAAATCTTAAACTCTCAATCTCACTAAGTTATGCTACACACCAGCATCTCCTTATATAATAATCGAGTATATCCTAGTTCTATTAGAGAATCTCATTAGATAACTCCTATGAATATTCTCTACTCCTAGCCCCTTTAGGATCCATGTCTCGGTAGAACTAGGAAGTCTTCTTTCGTCTCTCAAGCTTTTCTCAAGCTTAATTCAACACATGTTATTGGAAAGACTGTATAATACAGTCTGTAATAGAAAGAATGCGTCGATCAAGTTTTGGTACTTTAGTTACAAGAAGCCAAATTACATGGAGCAAAACTTCACTGCAATGAAAAGTGTTGAAAGAAACCAAATTACATGGAAACTTCAATCCCATTTTTCAAAATTTAGCTCCTTGCACATTGTATCGTGATCTAGATTTTTAAGTGTATGAAAGAAAGAAACAATGTGTCATACAATACAGATACTGTCGTCGTTGTAATGACTCTTCAGGATGTCGATGGTACTTCATTCATCGATCTCAGGTGATATCTTCCGCCCGCCACCGCCGCCGTTTCTACCGTTGTAAATCCTGCTCCGCCGTTTCCATTTGATAGGCACTGTAAACGGCGTCGGATAACCAGCATGAAAGCAACTAAGAGGGGCGCGTGGTGAGCACGATAAGGTTGCCGTCATATAGAAAAATAAATCTTCGATGGCACTTTTGTTAATAAACACTGTTTTCTTGTTTCACTAATTCCTAGTTCGAAACAAAATTTAAGAAAATCAGTATAGAGATATGAATTGTATTATTATTTTTTGGTTTGATAAAGTTATCGTGTTTACTAATTCGAAGATTAAAAAATAAAAATCTAAATAATTCATGAATAAGTGAACTCAATTTGATATAGGAATTGCAAATTAATATCAGTTTCTTTCGCTAGCTATGCACATATATATATATATATAGAGAGAGAGGAGCTATCTGAGCATATCATCACGAAGCAGCGAATGAAATAGACTTTCTTGTGACAATTACTATCCGATCGATTTAAAAAGGCTTTAACGACGGGAATATCAAGTGATGAGGAACCAGTTGCAGATACAAAGAAAGGTAACTGTGAATGGCTTCATTCTTGATCCTTCGCAGGTTAAGTTAGCAAACTGGATTTTCCAGACATACCCTGAAACTGCAGTGAATGTCAAGCTGCAAGACGATGAGCTCAGGACAAGATACATGAGCCTTCTCTTAGGCATCATCAAGAGACTTTACCACAAGCCTCTGCGTGGTCTCACCGAAGATGAACTGAGCAAAGTTTCCAAGGAGTTGTCTGATGTGAAACGAGCTGGTTTTAGTGTCGAATGGTTGGCTTCAAAGCTTGCCAGGGTGTCCTCGGAGAAGAAGACTTCTGAAGATCGGATTCGGGAACTCAAAAAAGAGCTCCAACAACTTAAGCTTACGGTGTCAGAGGAGAAGTCCAAGCTGAATAAGAGACCATGCTGGATCACCAAGACTGAGATACATATTTCTTTTTAGAAATAGGTATTATTAATTTTCTTTTATTTTTTAGAGTTTTCATACCTTGTTTTTCTTTGTTTTGTCAAACATATAATATCCCTGTGTTTCGTTTTTAATCTACACACCTTTTTCAATGATTTATCAGGTTTTCTAGTTTTTAATCAATAGCTTGCCAGACACGGTTTAATTAGGGTTCCCTAAGGTTTCACCTATAATGTCTTCAAATTGGACTATTAATGGGCTAAGATTGGGCCAAGTCAAAAGAAGTATTTTTGCTAAAGGTAAACCAGATTGCTTAAAAAATTGGTTTGAAGACACCATCCAAACAAAAGATCGAATCATAGTTGTGGGTTTTGATTTTAGATATAAAACCGAATATTCTTTTATTCCTCACACACACACAGATAAGGAACACGCTCGACTGGTGCATGCATCACACAGGATTACAACACCACACATACACATTTAACACGAACATAATCAAACCAAACCGAATCAAACTAAACAAAGAAGTAATTAGAACATAGACAAAGAGAGAAAGTGAGAGAGATTTTCATTTATCAAATTTGCAAGAAAAAAACAACAATTTCGTGATTGTCAATAGCTTTTGATAATCAGTTTTGTAAAATTAAGCGTGGTTTTGGGAATTTCCTAACGTTTAACTAATTATCAAATATAAACAAGAATAGTCAGAATATTTTTGACGCATACATAATTTTTCTTGTTAAAGTCTTGAGCCCATCAACAAGCTGCGTATATATTGTGTTAACTTACTTAATATATATGTTGATAATCTCTAATTAAGCTGAAGTCAATAAATGAAGCATATATTATGCCATCAGTTTAAACATTCATAAAAACGTTACGTACAACCTAAGAATTTTCTTAATAAAATATAATATTTGATAATTTTTGTTTTCTAACTTGTAGGATCGGTGGTGTGGAGTCTTTGCATTATTTTTTTTTATTGTTTTTATCTTTTGTGTACAATATGCATGCTTTGATTTGAATATTTTATATACATTTACCAATTTAAGTTTGATTCATAATTATGTCATACTTTATTATTTAAATAGAATTTTAGAACGTGTTTTTGATGTTGGTTCAGATATAAGTAGTAGCTATATATAGAAATCATATTTTACTACTTGTTAAATATCGAGTGTAAAGTTATTTATATAATATTTTTCTATGTTAATTTTTGAATCAGAAACATCAAGTGTATTAATAATTGTATATTTAAAAATATTTTTGGTTTAGAAACTCTTGTAAACCTATTGCAACTTTAAATAGTTAATCATTGTTGATATTAATACATTAGAAATCAGGAAGAAACTTTTTGAAACTAATTTTAAATTAATTTTGTTTTAATTTTTTTTTCTTTTGATAGTAATTTTTTATTTATTGTAATTTATATATTTTTTTGTATGTTTGATATACTCATGACTTATATTCTTTTTCTCAAACTCTTTTGTTGTTGATTTTTTATATAGGTATCATAGACATCACATTAATTTCTTTTATACAAATGCTTTTACTTTGTTAAATTTGGTTTTTTATATTAATTTTAATTCTAGTTATAAAGCTGATTTGATATGCTCTAACTGTTGAATTTAAATCTTAGACGGATTTTTCTCAAATGCTTATAACATCATTTGTTTATTTTAGATAGGCTTCTCCAAAAACTTTAGCCCAAGTTAGATTTCTTTTATACGACTTTGTCTTTTGTTAATTTGCTTTTTTTTATAATGATTCCTAATTTTTTGAAACATAAATTTATAACATGTTGAAAGCTAAAAAGTTTTTTTATAAAAACATGTTTAATTTTTCATCATATCATAATAGCTTTAAAACAGTTTTGTTTTATATCTAAAAACACAATAGGAAATTAAAGTATGGTGAGGTAATGCATGTGAGCGTACTTACCATGTCAAATAGTTAGTAGTTGCTTCAATATATTTTTCAGAAAAAACCGGGTGGAAGAAGTGGAGTGCAGAAATATTATTTTTATATGTTACAATTTAAAATATGATGTTAAGAGTTAAATAAATTTTATTATCTAATTTATTTCAAGATTCATCATATTTTCATAAAGAATAGTAAAACAATGGTAATTATATATTTGAGATTAAAAACCTTGAAATGTTTTTGGGTTCATAATTGTGGCCAGGAACACGATAGGTTTGACAACACTTTTTGTTATTTTTCTTTGGAAATTGGCGAAAGAGCAACACGAACAATTGACCCACTGTTCAGAAAATTAAAAATGGTGCTAAGTAAACATAGATTGTATTCCAGATTATAATATATAAATGAGTTGTTGGGAAAACATGCTTATCTTTTTAATTGCAAGTGAACATTTATTTTATTATGACTTCCACCATTGATGATATCATTAGCTTAACTGGATAAGAAAGTTCTCGTCATTGATGATGATCAGTTTTCTAATAGCATCTACACAGTATATGACGTAATTATTATATATTTGTATATGTGCAATACATTATAAGTTATAAATTTTCTAATATATGCTATAAGTTTTAACTTTTACGATATTAGTTTTTTGGTTAGTTTGACGTTTTTCCATTAAATTTCAAGGGATATTATATTTTAGTTTTCTTAATATAATTTTATTTTCCATTTGTTACGTAAGCTTTTTTCATATGTAAAACGAAATTAATGTCAATTAATTTAGAAGTTAGAATTTTCCTAATCTATATTATAAGTTTGAGCTTTTATGGTATTGATTTTTTTGTTAGTTTATCTCTTTTGAAAATAAATTTCTATTTTATTTTGAAAGATACTATTTTTTTTGGTTTTTAACATAATTCTCTTTTGTATTTTTACTTAAGCCTTTTTTATTCTAATTTTTCCATCTCTAAAATGAAATTAATGTTTTAAATTTGACGGATGCTATATTTTAGTTTTTTTTTTACACAATTTTCGTTTCTATTTGTTGTTTAAGTTTTTTTATTTTGATTTTTCCATCTATAAAATAAAATCAATGTTTTATATTTTCTTGTCAATTAATTTAGAAGTTAGAATTTTCCTAATTATATTATAAGTTAGAATTATTATGATATTGGTTTTTTTTTGTTAATTTAACTCTTTTGAAAACATATTTCTATTTTATTAATAAGGATACCATTTTTTTGTGTTTTAATATAATTTTATTTTCTATATGTTACTTAAGTTTTTTTATTTAATTTTTTCATGATTACAACAAAATTAAGATTAATCATACTTAACATTTTTCTTATTTAATGAAAAATGCTGATGTGGACCAATCATATCAAACTTTTTAATCATATGTGGACATCCTTAGAGGCATTTAGCTTCAACTTTTATTAGTAATAGACTAGGTATATAACTCGCGCTACTCACGAGTCTGTATTAATATTTTGGTTTATTTTTTTAGCTACTATCTCAAAAATTATTAAAAATATATATATATATATATATATATATATATATAGAAATTTTTATTTTTATAAGAAAATTTATTATAAACTGTGTAATTTATCCTATTTTTATATATATATTTTTAAAAACTATTAGGTAAAATAATAACAATGACACCTATCGAATTATCCAACTTTGACGTACATATACATTTGATTTAGAGAAATATAATCTTGCTAAGATTTTGGTATTATTTTCTGTTTTTCATAGAATTTCTATAGTTCTTTTTTTCTTGAAGGTTTATATGTTCAAATATTTAGTTTTTTTTATTGAAAGTCTTATTGATGTTGTGTACCACTGTATATATAATCCATGATTCATGTTGATTCGCATTTTAATTTTGTTAGGAAGTTTTAATGATTATGCAAAACCATTTTTTCTTCTCCATCATGTTTTCTAAGAGTTTTATGTTATATTTTTATTCAGTTTTTATTGTTTTAATTGTTAAATCGAGTTGTTGTATATTTTTTTAAACCATATTAACATTTTCTGATTTAATAAATTTGTTGATTTGGATCAGTCAGATTGAATTTACTTTTTTTGTTGGATATAATTTGTTAAATTAACTTATCATGTTTTAATTATACTTAATAATTTTTGGTTTGATTTAAAAGCTGACGTGGACCAATTAAATCTAGTTTTTTTTGTCCTAATCATACTTAATAGTTTTTTATTTAATGAATACTAGGTATATAATTCGCGCTACGCGCGAGCCTGTATTTATATTTTGGTTTATTTTTTTTAGCTATTATCTTTAAAATTATTAAAAATATAATATATTTATAAAAAAATTCATTTATATAAGAGAATTTAATATATAATATGTAATTTATCCTATTTTTATTTATAAACTTAAAAAAATTATTAGGTAAAATAATAACAATGACACCTATCGAATTATCCAACTTTGACGTATATATACATTTGATTCAGAGAAATATAATCTTACTAAGATTTTGGTATTATTTTCTGTTTTCCATAGAATTTCTATAGTTCCTTTTTTCTTGAAGGTTTATATGTTCAAATGTTTAGTTTTTTATTGATAGTCTAATTGATGTTGTGTACCACTGCATATATAATCCATGATTCATGTTGATTCGCATTTAGTTTTGTTAGGAAGCTGTAATGATCATGCAAAACCTTTTTTTTTCTTCTCCATCATGTCTTCCAAGAGTTTTATGTTATATTTTTATTCAGTTTTTATTATTTTAATTATTAAATTGAGTAGTTGTGGATTTTTTTAAAATTGATAATTGATAATGATTACTTTTTTATACATTTATTGTTAATTGTTTATTTTTTTTATTTAACTTTTAAAATTTTAAACTATATTAATATTTTCTGATTTTATAAATATATTGATTTGGATCAAACAGATTGAATTTACTTTTTTTTGTTGGACATAATTTGTTAAATTAACGTTGTAATATTTTAATTATACTTAATAGTTTTTGGTTTGATTTAAAAGCTGATGTGGACCAATTAAGTCAACTTTTTCCGTCCTAATCATACTTAATATTTTTTTATTTAATGAATATGCTGATGTGGACCAATCA